CCCTACGTGAGCCCCCACATGGAGCATTACCTCCGTGCCATGCACAGCAGCCCCACACTCCCCACGATCTCTGCGGCCCGGGGCCTCAGCCCCGCTGACGGTGAGTAGGGCCTGGGGGACTGGGGGACAGGGCCACTAACCCTAACAGTGTTGATTCCCCAGCCCCAGTCCTCTGGGACAACAGTGAGCAGGCTGACATTCCTCCCCACCACCCTGAACAACGGGGTGTTCAGTAAGTGGCAACAGCCAACACGGTCTGGGGACCATTGTTCTTGAGAGGTGTTCCGTAAACACCTTTTTGCATGCAAATTATGTACAATAATGGCCGGGTGTGTTTGTTCTTGTAGATCTTATCAGAGGTGAGAACTATTTGGTTGCAATAAACCAAACTCTGCTTCTGGTTTAGTAGAGGGGGCGTTGGATCCCATCTCATGGGCCCCCAGAGCAGAAGGAGGACAGCACCGGGCTGGCTTCTGCCCCTTGCAGGTCAACACGTGGCCTCCAAATGACACCCCAAGCCTCCACATGTGAGCATTGATGGCCTGGTGTGTCTCAGGTCAGATGCTTGAGAGAGAATTGCCTGGTCCAGCTGGGAGATCAGATGCCCCTCCCCTCCCCCAATCCAGTTAATTTGAGACACGTCACGGGACGCGAATATGGTTTTCAGATCTAAAATGTAGTACTTCCAAAAACAATGTGCTACTTCCAGCCCCATCGCCACCTCACCGATGCACCCGTACAAACACACACACGCAAACGCACACGCATGCACATACACACTCACGCTGGACGCTAGTAAGCACATTTGGGAGCTGGCCCCGCCCACCCTGTCATCCCGGAAGTGCTCCCACCCCACCCCTAGCTTGGAGCGCTGTCCCCATGGTACCCGGTGGCCACTTATTGCTGCCGTTTTTGTCAAAAAACAACCGGGTTGCATCTTCTCAGAATCTGCCCACGGAAACTATCGGGCAGAGGGACGTTCCAGAGGACAGACATTTCTAAGGACTTTGCACTCAGGAGCCCATGGGCAGAGGCTCCAGGAAACACGATCCTAGCAGGTCCCTCCTAACCACATCCCGTCCTCACCAGGGGCGATGTGCCCTCTCCCACTTTGTGGATATGACTGGAAGCTGGAGCTGAGTCCCGGACCTGAGAGGCTCAGGTTGGAGTTTCACAAGGAAAAGGACTCCAGCCTCCAAATACACAGAAAGGACTACCTGGCTCGTCACTCTAGCCATGTGTTTTGCACTTCGCCTCATCTTTACCACCAAGAAACCAGACGAGGCAACTGCCAGCAACTACAGGACGTGAAAATGGCTGGCTGCAGTGTGGCCGTTCTGAAGTGACTCCCAAGGGGTCGGACCCCAGGCCTGAAATCTCCACGGCGAAGCGTTTCGCTGCCTCCACATTGAGCCGCCGACTCCGGAACGTGGGCCTGTGCTTCTCCACGCCTCTGCTGATGACCCAGCCAGCGATGCGCTGGCGCGGAGCGTAAGGATGCTGCCCTGGCCTTGAACCTTGCACGCGGTGCAGTGCGCTGAACCGTGCCTGCCCCCGGGAAGATGCGTCCACACCCCACTCCCCGAACCTGAGAGTGTTGCCTCATTTGGAAAAAAGGCCTTTGCAGATGTGATTTAGTTGGGGATTCTGAATGAGGAGATCATCCTGGAATGTCCGCGTGGGCCTTAAATACAACGATAAGTGTTCTCACAAGAGACATATGAGAGAACAACGCGTAGATGGGAGAGATGTGGCCACCGGCCAAGGAAACTGGGAACCCCCAGAAGCTGGAGGAAGAAGCACAGAACAGATTATCCCCTCGAGCCTCTGGAGGGAGCGTGACCCTGCTGACACCTTCACGTCGGACTTCTGGCCTCCAGGATTGTGTTGTTCGAACAGCAGTCAGCGCTGAGTTTGTACTTACGAACCTGTTACGGCAGCTGTAGGAGATTAAGACACATGGCTCGTGGGTCAGAGGCCCTGAGAGATGTCTCTAGAAGAGACAAGGACACAGTAGTTTCAGTGGATAACGGTGTAGCCCATCCCTTGAAGGAGGGACTTAAGAGTTGTGGAGCACTGATTCGATGCCTGATTTCCATATAAATGTCGCCGTGGCTCCTGTCACGCCCACTTATCCTCAGCCCCAGTCCCTTGAGAAAGCAGGCATGGGGCCAGCTCCAGAGGGCACTTGGCTAATTTGCAGACTGAAACCCTGAGACTTCGCTGGCCCTGAACCAAGCTCCCAAGTGAGTAGAGACAGCACGACAGGCTCACACCGCCGGTGTGTCAGCCCCAGCACTTGCCCACACGAGGCCCGGAAAGTTCATCAGCTATGAGAGGCAGCGTCTGCCAGACCGCGTGTGCTCTGAGGACAAACGGGCCCTCCAGGGAAGGCTTCAGGGAGGAGGCGGACATCCAGAAGGAAAGGGGACGGGAGGGTGTTTCAGGCATGGACAGGGTAGGCAGAAGCCGTGGGGCATCATCCCGGCTGCAGGCCAGGGCTCTCTCTAGTGGATACAGCAGAAGTTGAGGAAGAGGAAGAGGGTGACTGTTTCCACTGACTGGCTTCTCTCTGCCCAGGGCATACGGATGAGATCTTTGCTTTTTGCCAAGACAAAGAGCAGAGACTGCCAGAGTCCCCATCTGCCAGTGGGGGGTGGTAATGGTGGCCCTGAGGTCATAGCACATGGGGATGGTGACACTGAGAATGAACGTGAGTCCCTCAGCACTGCCCGCACAGGCCCAGCAAGCACTCAGCACGATGCCGGCCATCACTGACATTTTGAATAGTAACTTGGGTCGTGAGTATTAGTGCCCCCGTGTTATGGATGGAAAACTGAGGCAGCTGAGAAAGGAGGCCCCTTCCCAGTTTTGCACACCTGGTGAAAGGCAGGACTCTCAATGGGTATGTGTGGCTCCAAGCTCCGTGCTGGAGTGCCAGGCCCCCTGGAAGATGCTCCAAAGTTCATCCTCCCTGCCTCTTGGCTGAGCCCCCGGAGGGGCTGAGTGCAGGGCTGGAGGCAGACAGCTCGGGTCCCGCCGTCGCAGGCCAGGCCGGGAGCTTGATCTGGCGGGGTCCGGGTGATCTCGCCGTGACTGTTCAGGCCCCGCCGACCCCCACAGCGTCTTCGTTTCCGTCTTCGTTTCCCGGGGCGCCTGGGTGGCTCAGTCGGTCAAGCGTCCGACTTTGGCTCGGGTCATGATGTCACAGCTCGTG